CATGGGCAGCATAGGAGGTTCATGATTCACTTTTGCGAATTTTTTTTTCTTGATGCGCTTCAGAATGTTTATTCCTGTATTACCATTTTCATTCTCACAGCCTCATATTTTACTGCAGTGTTATCTAGGTGAATTTTTTTTGGTAATTATTTTCATTTTATTGCAGGTGGAATGTTCGGCAACTTCGAGTCTCTTTATCGAGGTGTGCCAATGATGATCGTTCCGTTTTTCAGCGATCAATTCAGAAATGGGAAACGTGCACAGGAAGATGGATATGCGAAGTACTTGAATTTCAACGAACTGAGCACGGATTTGTTAGTAAGCACCATTCAAGGAATGACCACAAACAAATCATATTTGAATAAAGCGCGAGAAATCTCAGCGATATTCAAAGAAAATATAGTTCATCCCCTTGACGAAGCAGTCTGGTGGATTGAACATGTGGCCAAATTTCGTGGAGCAAAACACTTGAAATCGCATGCTGTGAACATGTCATGGTTTTCATACTTATTGATCGATGTGTTTGGTGTATTGACCTTCGGTTTCTTATCGGTTACACTTGTTTTATATTTAGCAGTTAGTTCGCTTTGCAGAAGAAAAGCATCAAAACAAAGCAGAAAACAAAAGCGAAACTGAATACAACAAAATGTAGAGTTGGAGTTATTCACATGTTCGTTCAAATGAATGAGAAAACAAACGTTACGTTCCATTCAAACGAAGTATACGGTTGTAGTACAATACATCAAAAAATTTGTATTAGTCGATCAACACATTAAAATTAACACGTGCTACTTATATACATAACTACACATGTTGTTCAAAACAATAACATTAGGTTCCTAGCCGGTTAATTTCAATAAACACTTGTGAGAGTATTAAAAAAATGTCTTCACACTTTTACTTTCATACATACGCACACATATGCACACATACGCATACTGAATCCGAATACAGTCGCATACATACTGCGAGCCACGAGTAGATTTAAGTAAACCAGATGTTTGCGTAGAACAATTGAGTTATGAAATTTGGTTGGCTGTGTAGAGTGTGTTCAAATATCACTTGGTGATAAGCGAATACGAGATGCCTGATTGCTTGCTTGCAAGTTCAGCTGTCATTCAATATGGTACGACGTGGAAGTGTTGCTTCAAAAATTGTTTCCTTTATAATTCACCATTTCTTTTCCGAAATTCATAGAATTCCTGGCTATTGTGTGTGGTGTTTTTGTTTGCGGGTGCAACAAGTGGTTATAAAATACTATTTTTGTCGCCACTACATGGACAAAGCCATTGGTTATTTTCACAGAATGTGATAAAGGCTCTTTTGAATCGACACCATGAAGTTACGTGTATAACACCATTAACGTGGCCCGATCCAAAGCCGTTCAACTATACCGAAGTTCTGGCTTCTTCTTCGATTGATTTAAGCCCAATTCTGCCACAGAAAAAATCCATCGAAGCACAAAGTGAATCAGCTCTATCCGATTTTTTGCTGTTCACAAAAGCTGGCAAAATGATGGCCGACCATTTGTTGAGCAATACAAATGTTCAGCGATTTCTACTTCGCAACGATCTCAGCTTTGATTTAGTCATCAATGAGGAATTTTTTCTGGAAAGCCTCTCGATGTTTGGTTTTAAGTTCAATGCACCACTTATAACCCTTAGTAAGTAACGATGTGTAATGTAGTATGATCAAAGTGCTTCAAATTTAAGAGCGTTCAAACTTGTATATTCACACTTGTTTCTATGTATAACATCGTCTTTTTTTCCTCGCACATAAAAAGGTTCGCATGGACATTTTGATTTCTTCGATCGGCAATTCGGTTTACTGACTCCTTGGAGCTATGTTCCACATACGGTAAGATAGTTTTAATGAAATCCTTTTTTTTGCCTAAAAATGAAAACTTTTCACGTAGATACTCGACTACTCAGATGAGATGTCACTTTTTGAACGATTGCACAACACTGTGATTTCACTCACTGACTGGGCGGTTCGTCGATTCATTCACATTCCCAACCAAATGGAAATAGCTGAAAAACACTTCGAACACTTGGGAAAGTTACCGTCAATTGACGACTTGGTGAAGAATGTGTCGGTGATTTTAATCAATATGCATCGATTTTTTTTACCACCAAGACCATCGATGCCGGGCATCGTTTATTTTGCTCATATTGAACAGCCATTAAGCATTACCCGCTGATATACAGACATTTTTAGATGGAGCTAAAGATGGAGTGATCTTCTTCAGTTTTGAGACATTTAGGAGTAGTGAAATGCCACCAGAGCGATTGAAAGTGTTCTTAGATGCATTAGGGCAGATTAAGCAACGTGTTATTGGAAATATGATGATGAATCAATTCAAAATGTTCCATCAAATGTACTCGTTCGTTGAGTGCAGCGAAGTGACATCTTAGCTCATCCGAATGTTGTTCTATTCATCAGCTATGGTTCGTATTCAATTAATTTTTGTATTTAATTCATTTTTCTGATCACATTTCAAACTCATCCATGTGTTTTCTTAATCGATATTTCGATTTTGTTTATGAATATCTCATGACCAGGCGAAATGTTGGGTAACTTCGAATCAATTTATCGCGGAGTGCCCTTGTTGATGATTCCATTTGTTGGTGATCAATTTAGAAATTCAAAACGAGCCGAACGAGCCGAACGAGCCGAACGAGCCGAACGAGCCGAACGAGCCGGATATGCAAAGCAGTTACATTTCAACGAACTCAACACCGATTCACTGGTCAATACAATTTAGGAAATGACCACAAACAAGTCGTATTTAAACCAAGCCAAATATATGTCTGAAGTTTTTAGAGATACTGCTATTCCTCCCATGGACGATGCAGTTTGGTGGATTGAACATGTGGCAAAGTTTCGCGGAGCAAAACACTTGAAATCATATGCTGTGAAAATGTCTTGGTTTTCATACTTACTTCTCGATGTGATTTGTTTGATTATTGTATAATTCTGTTCTTATATTGTATTTAATTATCAAAATCGTACGGAGAACACTCAACAAACAGAAAATGCGAAAACGTATAAAGCTTTACTGAATAAATAATGAAAACAACAATTAAACTGAAACTGAGTCGCAACAAAATGCTTTTTTATTTATTTTATCTCTACGGCGCTCGCTGTTTTATCACATAGGGAAGTAATTTGTTTTATGTGGGAAAACACTGAAAAAAATAAAAGAAATAATGTTAAATGTTAAAAAGGATTTTGTTTGTATTTTGATAAGTCTGCAAATTTAAACACAATTAAAATTGTGTTGAAAATCTTCAAATCGACAGATTGCAATAAATATCTATTCTTCTACAAAACCAATCTTCATTTCATACATTGTTTGTGATAAGATAAGACACGATAAGATTTCAATATGATAAAAAACGACAAAATCCGAATACAAACGAACTCTGATACACATACACAAGCTACGTAATACATTTGAAAACGAAAACGCATTTTGTCAATTGTTTACTCCACACAATGTTCTGAATTAATGCATAATCATCGTCGAAATGTGTTTTGTCAGCTTCTGTTGGTGAAGGTCAGCAGTGATTACGTGCCCACAGATTTCTTATATACTTGATAAGTGGTTTGACTATTCCAACACAGTTATCATATTGAACGTGTGAAAAGTCCAAATGGATGTAAATGAAATGAAATCAAATACAAGTATGAACTGGTATTGCTAATGAATCAAATGGTGAAATGTGTGTAAAAGATGACTTATATATATCAAATTCTATTCATTTTCTTGTTCAATATGATCATTTCAACAATCAGCAATCATTTGAGAATCTACGTGCCAATGAAAACGTCTAATAGACACTATGAAACAACTAGTTTTGTTGACTATGAATGATCATTCATGATTAGAGAAGTAAATAACAACACATTCAAAGTTTTATTCTCTGCACCAACAGCAGAAACCAGATTTTAGAGTCTATTCAGTTCCAAGTGATCACTCGTGTAGACAACATTGTTTTGGAATAAACTTTTCTGTTGACATCGAATCATCAAAATGGTAGATTAACTTTTCAAACTCAACTTAGTTTCATTTGATGAGTATTTTCTGATGTAAAAATTTATTATTTATTGCATAATTTTTCTTTTCAGAATTTGCGATTATTTGTGGTGCTTTCAATGTTCATAACCTTCGGAAATGGATACAAAGTCCTTGTTCTTTCGCCAATGAATGGAAAAAGTCACTTTTTGTACATGCAAACATTTGTGAAAGCACTTCTTGATAGAGGTCATGAGGTCGCATTTCTTACCAGCAATTCAATAGAAAACTTAAAATCATCAAATTACACCGAATACCTAATCAATCCACCGTTGGATCTTACAGGTGCACGTAAGTGAAACAGATGATTTTACCAAGTGCATTTTTTCCATCATAATTTTTTTTTTTGTTAGTTCCACAAAGTAAAATGTTGGATGATTTTGATGGTTCGGTATTCGCCAGCATATCCATGTTGTCATTCTTTCCAAAAATGATGAACGAATACAATCTCCAAAGTGAAGCAGTTCAAAAGTTAATTCATAGCACTGACTTACAGTTTGATGTTATCGTCATGGAGGATTTTTTTGGCGAAAGTTACCTAGCATTTGCGCATAAATTCAATGCACCAGTGGTGAAAATTTGTGAGTATCTTTGTGGAATTCTGTGACTTTTTGTTGGTTTATTTTTGTGTTCATATTTTTTGTTCGACTTCTTATAATTATTATTATCACTTTTCTTCAATTAAAGGTCCATTTGGATCAGCTGATTTTAATGATCGGGAAACGGGACTGTTGACCCCTTCATCTTTTGTGCCACATTGGGTAATAAAAATGAAACGTGGATCACACCGTTGCTGCAAGAGCATTACCACCAGCGACACCTTGTGGCACCGATAGTAAGATCCTGTGTGTTACATCGGTGCCACCAGGATCGCCTGCGGTATATTGCTGTTGCAGCAACGGTGTGACGTGGATGCATTGATACAAATTATAATAATTTTGTTTGACAATCCCAGATGCTAACTTATTCAGATAATATGTCATTTACTGAACGATGGTACAATACAATGGTTGCTCTCTATGATTGGGTTATTCGCAATTTTGTATATCTTCGGAATGAGGAAGCGTTTACACGACGATTCTTTGCTCATTTAGAGCCGTTGCCATCGATGGACGAGCTAATCCAAAAAGTTGCCGTGATTTTAGTTAACACACATCGGGCTATTTCACCTCCCCGACCAACGATGCCAGGTTTGATTCAGAACATAATCTATTTAGCTAAATAGATAAACACTGCGACCGTTTTTTTTGTTATCATCGAAAATGACATTTAAAATTCTCTCTCTTTTCTAATTCCATCACTTTCCTTCATTAAACGAAATGCCCGTTGAAAAATTCATTTCAGGCGTGATAAACATTGGCGGAGCTCATCTCAAACCGCCCAAACCACTTCCAAAAGATATCCAAAAATTCTTAGACGAATCAAAAGACGGAGTCATCTATTTCAGTTTGGGAACAGTGGTGAAGAGTTCTCTACTGCCTAAAGAGAAAATTCAAGTCTTTTTAGGTAGACAATTTTTCGATTAAATAAGTTGCTCTAAACTTATAATAAATAATAATCAACACTTGAAACATATTCATTCAATGAATCGAAATTACCGATCATTCATCGCCAGATTCATTCAAACATCTGAAGCAACGTGTAATTTGGAAGTATGAGGATTCGTTAACCAATGTTCCATCAAACGTGATGATTCTTAAATGGGCCCCACAGAACGACATACTAGCACACAAAAATGTCATACTCTTCATTTCACACGGTGGTGGATTCGGAACAACTGAATCACTTTGGAATGGAGTACCAATGCTGATTATACCATTTTTCGGTTAGTAACTCCTATTACTGCAAAATAAATTTCGCTTGTTCTAATATTTCCAATAAAAATTTCAACTAGGTGACCAACATCGTAACGCCCATCGAGTCCAGAACGCCGGCTACGGAAAGTATTTGAATTTCAAAAAAATCACCAAAGAATCGCTGTCAAAGACACTCGATGAGCTGGTTTCGAATGAATCCTACTTAAACAAAGCCAAAGAGATCTCCGCCGTTTTCAGAGATAATCCAGTGCACCCAATGGAAGAAGCCATGTTCTGGATCGAGCACGTCGCCAAATTCAAGGGTGCAAAGCACTTTCAATCACACGCTGTTCACATGTCGCTGTTCTCGTATCTACTACTTGACGTTCTAGCCGTGAACGTGCTTGGAGTGTTGGC